CACACAAGGGCACATCCAGGTGCAGAAACCGGGCATGCGACCATTCCTATTCCGCAGTCGTCCTGCAGTTAATGCAGAAATTTTCTAAACACATTCTTACCATCGCATCCGCCACCCCCAGCTCAGAACTGGCAAGAATCGGGAGGGTAAGGCCATATAACAGAGTCTGGGGAGAAATATGTTCTCTGAGAAAATTTGGATTTTTTAATAAAGTCTTAGCATACCTACTTTGGTATATACTTTTTTAAATTCTTGTGATGGGCACTCAGAGCATAAAGGAGTCCCACTTCAATTAGTATTTTGAAGGGAAAAGTCCCAAACTGTCACACACTGCTGTGGACAGCAATTTCCAAGGCTACCGGAAAACTGAATGTTATTTCATTCCTGTCAAGGGAATCGCTACTAGTGTTCCCTTTGCAATGAGAAACAAGGCACTGAATAATAATTAAAAAAAGAGCTTATTTCAGGCCCTGTTGTAGGCAAGATGGCGAAATGGAAGACCCAGAAACGTCTCAACAAAACAACTTCGAGACAAGTGACTCCATGACAGCAGCTTCCACCATACCTGCAGCTCTGCCGAACTCTTAACACCTGATCTGATGGCACAAACATGGAAGGTCTTAAGCTGGCAGACCACAGGGAACTGAAATCAGTTAGTTTTTCATTCTAGTGACAAAAGTCTTTTTCAATGAATGTTGGCAAAACACAATTCAAACACTTTGTGTGCCTTTCTGACAATGCTCCTGTAAGCAGCATATCCAAGGATGCCTTCGCTTGCAGACACACCTACACGCTTTACTTTTTCCTCCAAATAAAGGGACAAGCGGCAAGTTTGAAATGAGGTCTCCTCCCTACGGTCTTAAGTAATACAGACATCCAGTTAGCAAACAGAAGGGGCAAATTCTGAAAGCAAAAGAAGTCCTAATTTATTGATTACTGTTCTTCCCAAAGGAGGGGGGGAAGAACTGCAAATGTTTCACAATAAATAAAAGCATGAAGATGAATAACACTGGTGTACTCCATAGCTTGGATAACCTAATTCGCACAGCATGCAATCCTCAACAACACATAAGAGAGGAAAACACCTCACCTTTTTAATATGCACAAACCCTTTTTGATGTTTGACTAACAGAGGAGACAGTACAGAAAATACAGATCTATCACGGTATTTTGGCCAGCCCGGCCCTAAAGATACCTGATAACAGCAGTAAAGAGCTATAAGTAAACAGAAAAATGTACCTGTTGACAAGAAGGTTTTATGCTGAAAAAAAAAAAAATCTCTCCTTTCCTGTTTAAGGTCATTTAGGCGTTTATGCCCCTGTTACTTTATAACCTCAGCAGAACTGTGCTTTTAGCACTAGGAGAATTTTTACCTTTAGCTCCTTGACATCGATGTTGCCGGTGCCGTCTGTGTCAAACAGGTCGAAAGCCTCCCGGATCTCCTGCTTCTGCTCCTCGGTGAGCTCCAGCTTGGGATTCGCTTTCTTCCTCTGGGACGCGGCTCCTAGCGAGGGCTTCTTAAAGCTGGAGGCCTTGGCACAGCAACACAAGAGCAAAGGAGGATCAGGCCGCCGCCGCGGCGACGCACCGCCCCGGGAAGGGCGGCTGAGGCCCGTGGGACCGCGGCCGCCTCAGCCCCCAGCCCACACCGCGGCGCCGGGGCCGCTCC